ACTTATTGTTATAATATTTACATATAATTTAAACTAACTAATTTCTTCATTTAAAAAATTATTAATAAATAGGGAGTAAGTTATTTATTTATTTCTATTATTACTTATTGTTATAATATTTACATATAATTTAAACTAACTAATTTCTTCATTTAAAAAATTATGATCTAGATTGTAAGGATCTATTCTTATATATATTATATAATATTAATTTGTTAACTGAATTCTTTCATTTGAAAAATATCTGTTACTTTAGTCGGTAAGTTGTAAATCATAGGTTATTATAGTATGTATTTATCCAAAAATTAAGGCTTATATTACATTTAATTCTTATTTAAAATTTTAGAGTAAGTAATAATTTATTTTGTGTAAATTATAATATAATCTATCATATAATTTTAATTATTTAAATTTATAGATTTGGAAAAAGTGGAAATATGATTATAGATGATTTTATTCTTAAAAATGGATTAAAATGGATTCCTTATAACAAATTTAAAAATATTAAATATCTTAATGAAGGAGGATTTGGTACTATATACAGAGCTATTTGGTTAAAGAATAATGGAAATGAAGATGATGAAGAAGTAATTCTTAAATGTCCCAAGAATTTAAATGAAAATTTAAATGAGTTTTTAAAAGAAGTATAATAGTATATTATTTTCTATTTTTAATTTCAATTTTAATTTATTTGTATTAATAATTATTATTATTTTTTATAGTGGGAATATCATACAAGTGTTTTAAGTTCATATGATATTATAAATATTTATGGATTCACAGAAGATCCAAATACTTCAAAGTATATAATAGTAATGTATTATGCAAATAAAGGTAATTTAAGAGAAAATTTAACAAGATTAGTCAAAAGTAATTGGAATCAAAAATTATTTATGTTGTACGAAATTATTTCTGGACTTAGTAAGATACATAAAAAAAAACTTATTCATTGTGATTTTCATGATGGTAATATTTTAAATAATATTGAAAAGAATAAGGATAAAATTTATATTAGTGATTTAGGATTATGTCAACCTATAAAATCGTTTTTGAAAAAATATGATATTTATGGTGTTATTCCATTTATGGCACCTGAAGTTTTAAGAGGCAAATCTTATACTCCAGCTAGTGATATATATAGTTTTTCTATGATTATGTGGGAGTTTACATCTGGAACACCACCATTTAATAATAGAGCACATGATCTTCAACTTAGTTTAAGTATTTGTAAAGGTGAACGTCCTGAAATTATTGAAAATACTCCACAATGTTATGTGAATTTAATGAAAAAATGTTGGAATGAAGATCCATTAAAAAGGCCATCATCTGAAGAAGTGTGTAATATTATTAAAGAATGGATCATTCCTCCTGATAAAATTGAAAATATTAATGAAGAATTAAAATGCAATATTGCGGAATTTATAAATGCACCAATTGGGCATAATAATCTTGTTACTGAATCTCATCCTAAAGCATGTTATACTAGTCGCTTACTTGATTTTACTAGTAAAAAATTGAATGAAATTCTTGAAAGTGAAAATTTGGATGATTGTATAATTAATGATGATATGAAGTCATTAGGTATGTTAATATAATAGGTAAAAAATCAATCTTGCAAATTATTTATATGAAATTAATTTAATTAAAACAGATGAGAATACTAGTAAAAAGTTGAATGAAATTCATGAAAAAGCAAATGAAATGCTAGTAAATGATGAAGATTTGAATGATTATATATATAATTAAGGATTTGGGGTCATTAGGTATGTACTATGATATATAAAAGAACTAATATTGCAAATTATTTTTATGTGAAATTAATTTTATTTAATATTTAATTATTTAGATATTAAAACAGATGAAAATTAACTAATCATTGTTTGTTTTAAAAAAATTTATAGTTTTTTTAAGTGATATTTGATATTACATACACATACAAAAGAAATTGTTTTTTATTTTATTCTTTTTAGATTTATTTAAACACTAAGGCTAGAGTAGTAAATATTTTACAAGTTTCTTAGTTTGTAATTTAAATAATTCTTTTTTTTTTTTTAGCTTATGTACTGTATCTATATTCACTTTTTTTTATTATATTTAGAATTATTTAAACACTAAGACTAGAGTAGTAAATATTTTACAAGTTTCATTTAAATAAATCTTTTTTTTATAACTTTTCTAATTATGAGATATAAATTATCAAACCACTACTATTTAACACAAATTCAGAAGGAATTTTTGAGATTGTACCATTTGTTGCCCCGAAATTTTTAAAAGAAATGAACTAACTTAAGTTTCTGAATTTATAGTTTTGGTATAATAATATGGATATTATCGGTTTGTGATCTTTCTTTTTATGATAGACAACATGGCCGTTCATTTAATATTTCTAAACCCGCTGAGGAAATTCTCCCTCTTTATCTCAATTTAATGGAAAAATGTTTAGGTGCAGATCCACTCAAGAGACCATCAGCATTCGAATTACTATATATTTTACTTTGAAAATTAATTCCATTATTATATAGCGATTCAGTCTAGTATAATAGAAATTTAAACTTAATCTGATTCAAAATGTTAATAAAACAATATGATTACAGTACGATTTCTTGAATGCTATTTTTCTGAATATAACTTTTTCCGAAGTCAATTACCTGAATGCTAATTTCCTGAACTAGACATTTTCCTGAAATATACAATTCCCGAATCCTTATTTCCCGAACTCTGAAATCCTAATCCTGAATCTCAATATCCTTAACGGGAAATTTCCTGAAACATAATTTATTGCATATTAGTTTATAAATATTGCATCATAATTATCATAATTCAATATATCTATTTATTCAATGATAATATCATTATTAAAAAATTTTAAAAGTACCATAACATTTATTAGAAATTGAAGTTAGTTATTATTAGACATTTGTTAATTTCACAATATACAGTACATAGAAGCAAGGGTTACTAACAAAACACTTTATCAATCTATTATTTACCCTCACAAAGTTCACGGGAATTAAAAAATAGAAAAATACGAATAAAAGTACGTAAATATTCGTAGATGAATCTATAAAAGTTGTTACACGAATAATGATTACATCAAAATATTTTTCACGTGATAAAAAGTTTTCGTATTATTTATTATTAGGAAAATAATTTTAATAAAGTTCATACAAATTTTTATTATAAAAAAAAAATCAAATAGATTTTTAACAAAGTTATAAATAATAATAATTAAAAGCAAATAAATTTCAATGTCATATATCATGTTTTCATTATTATTAAATTTGTAACTATACATAAAGAGCAAACATAATATAAATTCTCATCAATTCTCATCAAGACATATTTACTGAAAAATATTAATGAGCGTGACTAACTTAGTTTTTATTTGATTCAACAAATATAATTTGTTTTACGATAAACACTTTCTTTATGATACTTTTTTTTTCTAAATGATAATTATTTGACTTTTTTTCAGCAATTATTATTTGATAATACATACAGTATATACATATATGTATCATAATATTTTTCATAATAGACTTTTTTTTTCTAAGTAAAAAAAAAATACAATTAAAATACTATCTAATTTACATAAAAAAAAATAAAATAAAAATCAAACAACTAAATAAATTTATGAAAATCGCGACACTGATTATTAATTAGTACAAAATGATTAACCGGTCACTGGGCGACTTCGCAATACTATTTATACAATATAGTGAAGTTGAATTTTTCTAGATGCTTTCATGGAGAAAAAAAAAAAATAAAAGAATTTTTCTTTACAAAAAAAAGGGTTAAAAAAAATATATTTGTCAATAATTTAATCCGAATTAATAATGTTCGTGCATTTTGACCATTTATTGGCTGACGATCATGGAGAAGCCCGTGCTGATCACACATATAACAATCATCCTTAATAAAAATCAGCCCCATTAAATATTTGATCTGCAAATGGGTTGTTTGTGACTTGTCTTGGTAACTGTATAAGATAATTCAATGTGTTCGCATTTTTCGCATGTCTTATTTTTCGTTGTATTTTACGATTTTGAAGAGAACGATTATATCGAGGCACATATGATGATCGAGTTTGGGTTACATTTGTGAGACATTGTTCTTGTTGTTCGGAGTATATGTCCGTTTCCTGATACTGAGAAGAACTATGAAAACAGTAGAAAAAAATTGAATAAAATTAAAAAGAGAAATAATTTATTAAAATAAAAAGTAAAATTCCTTTTTAAACTAAATCCTATTAAGAGGATGGAGATGTACGCTTTTTACCTCAAAATTTTTGAGGTCAAATATTATAAGAGGGTTTTGACACACGCATATAAACCTTATAATGTCGCACCACCCCTTACAATATTTCCACCAAAAATAGAAGAAAAAGGAGAAAAAAAATATTTTTTCTTTCCTTCTTTCTTAAAAACTTACCAATTTAAAGTTTCCGGATCGGCCCGGTTATGAGTTTGACCGAAGTAGTCAATAGATAGAGTAGCAGAATAAGTGACTGATGGTTGTTCCATTTTTTTTTCCTTTATAAAGAATTATAATTTTTGTACAACCAAGAATTTTTCTTTAAATGTTTGCTAATAAAAAATTTTTGATAAACAATTTTTTTTTGAAATGAGTTTGTTTTTGTTTTCTTTGAAGTGAGAATTGGATCAAAAAAATCAACCGCCAAAAGGAGAGCTATTTATTTTTTTTTCCTATCCTTTCATGCTTTTATAATTGGAAGAAAGAGAGAAAGAAAGAGAAACAGCTAATAATTATTCCGATTCGTAAATATGATATAATATACAATATTAATATAAGGAATATATTTTTACATCAATAAAAAAAAAAAATATTCTTATTTGACGCATTTTTAGATGCTTCTAATACAACCTTAATAGGAACATAAGCCATTACTTTTTGGATTCCGTCCATAAATCTGATAATGCCCTAATGCAGGCTGGAATTTTTTAAATCGCGATTTACCTTTTGGGTCTTTAATAAAGAGATTCCGCGATTCCGCAAGTTTTGTTCTAGGCGACTAATAAGGATCACGCAAACTATAAAGAGAACAATAGGAACATCTAAGTTATATTATATACAATTTGAAAGAATAATAAAGCCTAAAAAAATAAACAAGGATAAGGATTCTATATATTTATGTCGGTATCATTAAAATATATGATATATTTTAATTTTTTTTTTAAATCAAATTATGAAATTAATTAATTTTAATGGTACAAAAATTTGTGAAACATTTCATACATAGTCAAATGATTTTAGCTAGGTCAAATAATAATTTATTAAGTATATTACGTTCGAAAAACCCCAACGTATATGCAAGTTGGCGTTTTTTTCAAGGATGGTCTTTTTGTTTAGGAGTTATGCACTTGCACGTGATAGCGTTAACGTTAACCCCGGCCAGTTCGTACACTGCAAATTAAGGAACCCCTTTTTTGTTGAATAAATGAGCTTTTTTTTATTTAAAAAAAAAAAAAAATTATCGCTAATATCGACCAATATAATATTTTATTATTTTATGAATTTTAGAGGCTATCTCATGCATCATGAAATTTAAAAATTCTTTAAACTATCCGTTACGATTAAAAGGTTGCCACGTTTTTGTCGCACAGACCGGTCACCATTACGCCATGTAAACTTTAATTAAGTAAACCCTAGTTAAATTATACCTACTTTAAAATTTATGAAAAATAAAGATTTTAATAGAAAAATTTCAGTTATTATTATCAAAATAATTTATTTCAATATATTTTATTTTTTTAAACAAAATTATTTGTTATAATGTATAATTATATTATTATAAGTTATCTTTTTATTACCATAAGTTAAGAAAAATATTTGTCATATTTTTAATTGTAAATAAATTATTAAACTAAATTAAAGTTAGATTAAAACTTCAAACGTTTTGTTTTTTTTAAAAAAAAAAAAAAATTAGGATCGGAGATAATTTGCAAATGATTGACAAACCATTTCAATTTTTATGATGTGTAATGATGCCTAAACCTTAAATATTTTTTGTGTAACTTTACACCTTATTCCATAAAAGGGTGACTTAATGAAGTTGTACAGTAAGTACTACAGTTACATTTGCGCAAAAGGACCGGGGGCACTGTAAATATAATAAATTATATTATTCCACGCCAATTGTTAGTTGATTAGTTTGAAACATTGTGCTTTATTCTATATACGTATTTATTAATTATAATGAATATTAATAAAGAAAAAAAAAATATTGCGCCGCCAATATTTTAATCTGCATGTGAGCATATCATAAATAAGGATTTGTTAAGATACACTAAAATAATTAATTTTCAATAAATTTCAATATTTATATTTTTATTCTTTTTGATGCATCTTTGAAACAAACCCAAAACGAAAGGTTTTTAACGTTTCATGATAAGATATGAAAAAAATACGCAAATCACATACTTCACATAAACAAATAGTTCCAATCAAGTGTAAGTACTGTATGAGAACCTCGGAAATCTTACATGTACAAAATGGGGGTTGTAAAATTTTTTTGAAAGGTGTTAGGTAAAAACCGGATTTTTTGAAAAAATGAGGTAAAATGAGGTAAATAGAAAAAGTGAGTAGTAGGATTTTTTATAAATAAATTTTATGATTTTTAAAGTTGTATGTTATAATTAGGTAAATTATCAGGATTTGTATAGAGTAATATATATTCAGTACAAAAAATTAAAAAATTAATTGAGTTTGCAACCGCCGGCATAGAGAATTCATAATAAAAGTTCTTATATAGATTTTAAAATTCCCAATAAACTTTATTAAAAAAAATCCCTTTCAAAATATATTTATATTTGAACTGAGAATTTGAAAAAAAAAAGTTGTTATAGAGTCAATAGTAAATGCATGCATGTAGAGGTACAATCCGGATAGCCGTTGATAATCCGTCATGGACATTAAACACAAAAATTTTCCGATGTCCGTATTGGCTCACCTAGAAAAAATTCGATAAAATCCGCAGTATAGAATTGCGCTACATTACATGGTTAAGAGGACCCGAAATATATAGAGGTCAGGGGACATTAAAATTTTTTTTAATTAATAAGCAAATTAATACCTAACCTCAAATAGTTAAAAAAAAACAACCCCTGATTTTATCATCATGTGATTTTCCATTGTTCAGTCTGTTACACGGAGGCGAATATTAGAAAGCCATGATCTGTGCGCCCACAGTAAAAATTAAACTTATATAATTATACTTTATATAACATATACTAAAATTACTATGCTTGGAGAGAAATATAAAAGAAAGGAGCGAACAAGGGGAAATAGACAGAGGTTTTTGTTATAACTTTATTATAGTTTGGTTTTGATTTTTGCTATTGGTAATATATTGCTGATCGCCGGCTGAGGCAGCAATTTGTGACGGATTATTCTATTCATTTCTAACATTTCTAACGTATAAACCTTATAATTACTGATTGAAGCATCCGTTTATTCATATATACCTTCATTCTTTTCTGTTATCATCACGTGACTGCGTAGCGAAGTGGTGGTAACCAACATTAATTATATAGTTAATTTTATTAATGAAATGTAAAAAAAAAACATTATTGTATTGTTTCAATTATATCTTTTAACAAAAATAACCATAATAATACTGTTTTTCATTTCCTTATATTTTCTTTGACTGATACATTAGTTGGTCCAATATGATAAATGATATTAGAATCGGTATATTGCACCCTTCACTAGTTAAATCTCTAAATACATGATATATCTTGCAGATTATTAAGTATATTTAAATCACCTATTACGTGTACATAATATAGTATATATTTCTCTCTGGCATTTTCTTTCTAAGCAAGTCAATCTAGGATTCCATGTTCGAAAACACTTTTATACGCTATGTTCAAAATAAAAAAAAAAAGAGTGAAGTAATTAACGCCATGACCCCGAAATATATACATAGAGGTATATGGTTAGATTTTGATTTGCGTATAATCTATAAATTTTTTAACCAGCTCATGTTATCAATTTGCGTATTATTAATAGATTTTTTTAAAAGTAAGAGGCTTGATTTGCCTATTTTTAATACAAATTTGGCTCGAGGAGCTAAAGCAAAAAAATACGGAGCTTGAGACCGGACTCGCGACAGTGGAATAGGGTTGTTCAGTAATTTGGTTATGTCATTATTAGATTGTATATATTTATGTTCGTCCATATGTCTATATCAGGTTTATGCACGAATTAAGAATAAAGACACACATATATCCGTTATTATCCGCACGATAATTAGTAATAAACACGAATCGGTCGAATCACGAGCTGACATATACTGTACATATTGAAAATCTTTAATTTACACAAGAAAAATTATCAAGGGCATTTATTATTTACTATGTACTGTATTAAAAAATTATTCTAATACATATTTATCATATAACAGCTTAAAAATAAAAGAACAATAATTTATGTTTATAACAAAGACCACACGATGTCGTGATATCAATGCATATTATCTAAATATTATTCTAATTTTTTTATTCGTTATTATTTTAAAATTAATAAATTAATAAAAAAAAATTAATATTTTTGAATATAAAAATGTATTCTGATAAGATAAACCTTGCTAAAAGTTAAAACATTTTCCAGTTGGATTAGGAGGCGCAAATGTACAACCTCGGGCGTCATTAAGGCCAGGACAGCAGGCAGTTGCAAAGTCTTCAATAGTACAATCAGAGCCATCAGCCCTACATTTGGCAATGGAGGTTGAAGTGGAGATGGAAGTAGAAGTAGAATTGGAGGTTGAGGTGAAGGTGGAGGTTCCGGTAATGGTTTTTGTTACGGTTTTATCTTTAGGACATGGTTTATAAATGGTTGAGAACAATAGATGATTTCTGTGTATCTGCCATGTTTATGAGTATAATGTTTATGTTTATCAGAAACGCAGGTAAATGTTTTATGACTATTTTGTTGATACCTCTTATTTAATTCCGGTGGAGGAGTGGCGGCTGGAGTGGTGGTGCTAGTGCTAGTGGTAGTTGTGGTGGTAGTTGTAGTAGTAGTGGTGGTTGTGATGGTAGTGGTGGTGGTGGTGGTGGAAGCGCAGATGTGATATGATGAAAAGAATGAAAAGTGCTCGATTAATTTAATTAAAGGGAAAGGGAAAATGAAAGAATTAGAGATAGCAATAACGATAGAATTCGTCTAAACTTAAAATAGATACAAAATATATTACTATATGAATGTGCTATTGGATATTAGTACAACATAGATTAAAAAATATTAAGCTCTAATACACCAATTTTATTGACATATTTGTAATACAAATAATTTTATTAATAAAAATTTTGAAAAGGTATAAAAAACAAATAAATGAGCAGAATGTAGATCGGGAAAGTTACTCGGCAAATTTCATTGGTAAGTTACAACAGATAATTGGTACAGGTACGAAGTAAATTAGGGTGTCACACAGACAGGACCCAGAAATAATATAATATATAGGGTCAGGTGATGAAAAAAATTTTTTACTATGAGCTGTACGCATTTTTTCAGGGCCGGAATTAAGTCGGTTACTATAATAGGAAATAAAATCTGACTAGCATCATAAAAATTATCTAAAATTTCATGATTTTTTTTTTAGTTCAAAAATCACAAAATCACGCAAACTCATTCTGGGTCCTACACAGACTAATTATTCAAAAATATGTTACATTGAATATTTTATTATGATCAGATTTTATACTATATAAAGTTATAAAGTTTAATTAAATAATCTATTGATAATTTTTAATAATAAATATAATATAAGTTTCTAAAAGTTTCTCACTAATCTTGCGTTTGTTTTCAACCTCCTTCATATGGAAAGTGTTCTTAAGAACTATCACAAAATAGGTACATTCATTTTTTTTTTTACAAAGCTTTTAAAAATGGTTCAATAGAAAGAATTTACATTAATCACAATATCACATATCTAAAATTTTATATGTTAAATAGAAATATTTGAACGTAACTTTGTTCTTGAGCTATTTATAGACTTTCTGTAAAATTTGAAGGTAAATTGATGGTTCAATAATGCGGTGAAACATTTATTTTATTTTTATTTTTATTTTTAAAAATTGAGACAATGACGGAAGCTATACAAAAGTGACAATCACACACACGCTACATTCGCTACAAGTATAAACCCAACCTTCGCAAAGATCGCACTGCCTAATATGTATAAATCAATACTAGGCATTTCCTGCATTGAACAAAAGAGAAGAAGAGAAAGAATCGAGACCAAAATGAAAAGAAAGACGGTGAAACAATTTTAATCATGTCAATTATTTTAATAAAGAAAAGCACAGTTACGTGAAGCAAACCAAATTTCTGCAATATATTAGTAATCAATGTCGACCAAAATTTCTAATTATAAAAAACATCATTATTCATTATTCATATTTAATTCGTACCGCATGCCAAGTGAGGGCCGCAAATTTGTTAATAATGTGAATATCTCCTTCTGTAGCATTTTTTATAATTATTTCTGCACTTACGATTTCTAGCTGCTGTTGTTGTGACAATAAAACAACATTTGTATTGTATAATATTTTATAATATTAGATTCTTTTATGGATTTCATTTGATAATTTTATGAATTTTTTTTATTTTTTTTATTTTTATTGCATTATTTACATGTATACGATTATATCTAAATATTTAGTTTAATAATTATTATATCATTCATAATAAACTATTATGCATTTTAAAATTTTTCAAAAACTGGGGTAAATTTTTTAACTTTAAATTTCTTAGTTTATCAGAAAAGATAATAAGTTCAAAAAATGAAGAGCTTTATTTGAATTAACACATGCTATATTTTAAGGAGCATAATAAAATTATTTGGAAAATAAATGTTAAAGAAATATCAAATAAATATTGCTTTATAAAATTTATAATTAAAAGTATTGTAAGTTTTATTAATTCCTAAATTCTCTTTTTTCACTATTAAAAATATTATTTTTAATTAATGTATGGATTTATTATAGGATTCTAAACTATATGAACATGTGTTAAAATATGAAGATATGTTAAAACTTGAGGGATTAGGTTGGAATGAATATCAACTTCCAAAAAATGTAAATGAATATTATGTACAACTTTCAATTGAAATAAATGGTTCTATTAATATGGTATATTTCTATTTTACTTGAAACTTTTTATTTTAAAAGAAAATTGATTTATTATTTATTCAAATAGCAAGTAGATTATTTTCGACTTTGGTGTAATGATGAAGAGATAATTTATAGTTTTAACATAGGTGATTTATTACTAAATTTTCATAAAATTTGTCCAAATGTTTCAGTAACTTTTAAAGATAAATATTTTTCAAAAAAAGAAATGGAAAACTTACTTGAGCAATTAACCACCTATGATTATTTTTTTTGTTTTTCTTATAAGTTCAAAAGGTTTAATAATTAGGAACGTTAAAGTTTAAAATGGTAAGTTTCTTTGTGAAATTTTACCATTTATGTTCATTTGTTAATAGAGTTGTTTACTAATTTATTTGTAGATTTTTGCTCTGAAGTAATTGGACTAATATAGATTTTAGTATATTTAGGATTATTTTTGGCATAATATTTTAATAAAAGCTAGTTTAACATGATTTAACAATTAAAATATATCACTAAGCAAAAATAAAACAATTTAATGTTAAATAACTATAAAAAAAATAATCATCACTATTTAACTTATTGGATATATTTTGCCATTTACCCACATCAACGAGTTCAATTATTTTTGATATATCACGTGATATTTCCATCATATATCCCTAAAAAATTTTTCAGTGTATCAGTGAGTTAAATATAATAGATCTTATTGGTTAATTTATTTTATTTTCAACTGAATAACTTTTGTATAATTTTTAAATAACATATTCCACACAAAAATTGTTAATTTAAACATACTATTCTTTAACGTTAATAAATGTATATAAAAACTTAAAATATACATCACTTCAAATTCTGTATATATTTGTATGAAAATGTATAAAACCTCAAATCAAGAGATTATAAGGCTAAAATAAATAACTTATATATAATTTTATAACATTTATTGCATTAAAAAATGATCCAGATAATTATTTATGTCTTAAGAATAATACATATATATCATAACTATGAAAAGAGTTATGAATAAAAAAAAAAAAGAATAGAATAATTTTTTTTATTTTTATTGTTTTTTTTCTGTTTTTTCCAATTGGCTTTTTTTCCAATCCAAAATTTTTTTTCCCCTCTTCCTAATCTATTGGATAAATGGTTTACCCTTATAACCAAAATTGGGCTAAACATTTATCTATAGAAATCAGGCTAAAATGTAAATAATACGCGTGTTATTCACTTATAAATAACGCAACAAATAAAAATCATAACAGAATTTAAATAATTTAAATCATAAATTCATCCAAACATTTAGAATCTTCTTCAGCTAAAATTTCAGTAATTTTAGTAAACTTGCGACTTGTATAATTTGCTTGTAAATAAGATTGCATAACAAAAATATTGGGTTTTTCTTGTTTATTTTCTTCTTGATTATTTGCTTTTGCAAATTCAAGCATATCATTTGTTAATTCAATATCAACATCAGGTACTGCAACCTTATAATTCCCATCTTTGTTATATATATAATATTCACTAATACATCTAATCCATTCAGATATTTTATATTCAAGCTCAGTTATAGTTGGTCTATTGGAAGGATTTGAATCCCAACATTTTTTCATTAAATTTACATAACATTCTGGAGCATCTCTCATAATTTGAGGGCGTTCACCTTCACAAATATCCAAGATAAGATGATGATCATATGTTCTATTATTAAATGGAGGAATACCTGATGTAAATTCCCACATTATCATTGACAAACTGTAAATATCACTTGCAGGGGTATAAGGTGTGTACCTTAATATTTCAGGTGCCATATAAGGCAAAACTCCATAAACTTCATTATCCTTTTTATCATCATCTACAGGTTTACATAATCCTAAGTCAATGATAAATAATTCACCATAATCATCTGATATCAAAATATTACCATCATGAAAATCACCATGAGTTAAATTTGAATCATGAATTACTTTAAGTCCTAATATAATTTTTTTTAATAATTGTAACTTGTCTTGCCACTTAAACTTAATTATATCAGATAAACATTTTCTCAAATTTCCTTTTTTTGCACAACTCATTATTATTACATAATTCAAGTTATATGGATCTTGAGTAATTCCAAAGAATTGAATAAATTTTGAAAATGATCTTTTCTGACAGTTATAGTGATGTTTCCACTAAATAAATTATAAAAAATTAATAATTTTGCCATAAAAAAAAAAATAATAATTCACTATTAAAAATAAATACTATACCTCATTCAAAAATTTATCATCTATTTTTGACGAATTATATAGTGTTTTAAGAACAACTTCATATCCTGTTTGAAAGTTACATCTATTCCATTGTTGTTCATTAAAATTCCAACTATCAATAGGTCCATCTAACCAGATAGCTTTATAAATTTTACTGAATCCTCCTTTATCATAATAATGAATATTTGACAGTTTATTGTAAGGTATCCATTCCAAAACTTCATAACTATTTTTAGCATTTAGTTGAGCATCTTGAATAAATTTATCAATAAATTCATTTTTACTAGTCCACTTTGAAAAATTTTGTTGAAATTGTTCAGGATTACATTGCTGACACCATTGATAATCAGTATATGGTAGCTTGCATCCATTACATAATCCAATGAATTTTATTTCCTTAATTGCTGGTATTTTTTGATACCAATAAAAATCCTTCTCTGTTCCATCCCAATTTATATCAACTGAGTTATTTATTACCTTTTCACCTTCTGCTGTTTTTTGATACCAATAAAAAGCCTTCTCCAAATTTTTTTCTATTCCCTCCCCATTTTTATAATGATTAACTAATTTATTCATTGCCTTTTCATTACCGCTTTCTGCTGCTTTTTTATACCAGTGAAAGGCTTTCTCCAAATTTTTTTCTGTTCCCTCCCCATTGTTATAGCAAAATGCCACATTAAACATTGCATCTTTATCTCCATTTTCTGCTGTTTTTTGATACCAGTAAAAGGCTTTCTCCAAATCCTTTTCAGCTCCCTCCCTACTATAATAATGGCCGGCCAAATTAAACATTGCTCTTTCATGTCCATTTTCAGCTGCTTTTTGATACCAGTGAAAAGCCTTCTCCAAATCCTTTTCCACTCCCTTCCCTTTGTTATAATAAAGGGCTACATTAAACATTGCATCAACATGATCTCTTTCAGCTGCTTTTTGATACCAGTGAAAGGACTTCTCCAAATCCTTTTCCATTTCCTCCCCACTGTCATAATGATTGGCCAAACAAAACATTGCTTTAACATGATCTCTTTCTGCTGCTTTTTGATACCAGTGAAGGGCCTTCTCCAAATCTTTTTTCACCCCCTTCCCATTGTCATAACAAAAGGCTACACTAAACATTGCATCTTCATCTCCACCTTCTGCTGCTTTTTGATGCCAGTAAAAAGACTTCTCTAAATCCTTTTCCACTCCCTCCCCATCATTATAACAAAAGGCCACAAATAACATTGCCTTTTCATCTCCACTTTCAGCCGCTTTTTGAAACCAGTAAAAGGCTTTCCCCGAATCCTTCTCTGTCTCCTCTCCAATATAATAATGACTGGCCAGACTAAACATTGCATCACCATGATCATTTTCTGCTGCTTTTTGATACCAGTAAAGGGCCTTCTCCAAATCCTTTTCCACTCCCTTCCCATTGTTATAACAAAGGGCTACACAAAACATTGCATTAACATGGTTTCTTTCAGCTGCTTTTTGATAATAGTAAAAGGCTTTCTCCAAATCCTTTTTTGATCCCTTTTCACTGTAATAATGACGGGCCAAATTAAACATTGCATCGATATGATCATTTTCTGCTGCTTTTTGATACCAGTAAAAGGCTTTCTCCAAGTTCTTTTCTGTCCCCTTTCCATTGTAATAATGACAGGCAAAAATATACATTGCATCAACATGATCTCTTTCTGCTGCTTTTTGATACCAATGAAAAGCCTTTTCCAAATCCTTTTCTATTTCTTTTCCACTATAATAATGACAGGCCAAAATAAACATTGCGTTAACATGATCATTTTCTGCTGCTTTTTGATACCAATGAAAAGCCTTTTCCAAATCCTTTTCTACTTCCTCTCCACTGTAATAGTAACCAGCTAAAATAAACATTGCGTCAACATGATCACTTTCTGCTGCTTTTTGATACCAGTGAAAGGCTTTCTCCAAATCCTCCTCTATTTCCTTCCTAATGTAATAATTACAGGCTAAAAAATACATTGCATCAACAAGATCTCTTTCTGCTGCTTTTTGACACCAATGAAAAGCCTTTTTCAAATCCTTTTCTATTTCCTTTCCACTGAAATAATGACAGGCCAAAATAAACATTGCGTCAACATGATCATTTTCTGCTGCTTTTTGATACCAATGAAAAGCCTTTTCCAAATCCTTTTCTATTTCCTCTCCACTGTAATAATAACCAGCTAAAATAAACATTGCGTCAACATGATCATTTTCTGCTGCTTTTTGATACCAATAAAAAGCCTTACCCAAATCCTTTTCTATTTCCTTTCCACTGTAATAATTATTAGCTAAAATGAACATTGCTTGAACATGATCATTTTCTGCTGCTTTTTGCCACCAGTGAAAGGCTTTCTCCAAATCCTTCTCTATCTCATCCCCAATGTAATAATGACAGGCTAAAAAAAACATTGCGTCAACATGATCACTTTCAGCTGCTTTTTGATAATAGTAAAAGGCCATCTCCAAATCCTTTTCTACTATAAATCCATAGTAGTAATGGTTGGCCAAATTAAATATTGTACACATTTTAACTTCTTTTCCTAAGTAGTATAAATAAGCTAAAAAACGGAAAAGCATTATGAAGTCTAGAGTGCAAAAATTTTTGTAACAAGAGACAAAAAATTTTCATAATTCATAATGATTGACATTTTGATTTATGTTCAAAAATAATTTTAAATTAACTTAATTTGGTTAATAATAAAATCTGTATCACCAAGCCAAATGATCGACTTACTATTTTTTAAAGCGATCTTAACTGCGCCTATCACGTGATCATACTATTTTGGTTCAAAATGGACATATTAATTAAAATAAAGATTTGCGTGTTAACAAATTGTCCACTTGGCAACATTGGTAACATTCACCATCATAAATAAATATTTTTTGCAATTTTTAAAATTCATTTTTTTTTTTTATAAAACTTTAAATTTTACGTTAAAAAATGAAGCGGACAGCCTAATATTATACAAAATTTATAATTTATATCAACAAGCTTCTTTTAAGCTGTTTGCTAACGGAAATTCAGGAAAATGATTACGAGTAAATGCACATGCGAAAAAAAAAATATTATTTTTTTCTGATAGAGTCTGTCCGGGCTCGTCAAAATTGCTCCTCCTTCAGTTGTTCTTCGAATTGTGGTGTGAAGATAAAAAAAAATTTAGAATAATTTTGGCAGGGGCCCGGGCTGAAATTTCAGTCACGAGATTTTCAGATTCATGATTGAAGCCATCAGATGATCTGGAGATAAGTTATAAAAAAAATATCATCCCGAGGTTATTTATACTAACGAGGGAGAGATCAAGGGAGGAGTTTTTTATTCACATGCATTGTAGATTAATTTACATGCACAGCGCCTTTGACCAGCATTGATATCAATTTCGCAGATGTAGTTAAAAAAGGACAAAGTTCACTATGCGAACAAACTAATACTTTTTATTTATGCATAACTACTCAAAAAGGAAAATCCGGACACCCGTGTCCACTAATTGCGCAGTAATGTGGTGCAGTAAACCCGTGCACCCGGTAAAAAATATTTTCGATTATCATGTATTCTGTCCTAAAATCATTACCTTATAAATAATCTATGATTAAGAGAAGAAACGCGTGAATAGCCTTCACAGAATCATGTGATAAATATGAAAATAGCATCGGCACTATGAGATTTATCCCATTAATTCCAGTTTAAACATTATTTTATTTCGGTCAACGCAAATGCTAAAACTAATTACATATGATTCAGTATCGAAAAATCAATTTTATGTAACACGTACAGTATAGTAATTGATGCAGTTATTTCTGGCTATCCTTCACAACTCTTGCTTTTTTAGAATTGCCAATGTTAGTATTATCCAGATGGTGCTTCATTAATTGTGAGCTTGCATCATGATAATCATCATAACTATGCTTATTGATCCGGTGATATTCTCTGACAATTACAGTATCCTAGAAGTAGAATATTCAGAAGGTAAGTTTAGTGTACCACCACCAAAAAAAGGAAAAAATAAAAAATTTCACCTGGGCAATTTCCAACTCTTTATTTATAATCTTTCTTGGCATGTAATTTGATTGCTTTGGTAATCCTTCTTTTACAAACCTTCTTGACAATTCGTGGAATTTGTTGCATCTGATGGGAGGAAATATTAGTTTGTAAAAATGGTTATTATACTAAACATGTCAAGTTATTCCTAGGTTCAAGTCAGTGAAATAGCCCGAGATGTTACACTCTTAGCAGGATAAGGATGCGCCCACCCTACGAAGATGCACTTCGCCCTCAAGCATGCAAGTATTTGAACTAAAGTACAACGAGATACGAAATCTCTCCGGAAGTATGATCTGACCATAGACGAGAACACATCCCGCCAAAACATACAGTTCGCCAACAACTCAACAAGCACACAGCTCGTGTAGATAATCGATCCTCGGACTGCTTTCTTTTTCTACTTAATGCTAAATAATATTACCTTTAATTATTCCTCCATTTCTGTTAGACGAAATTGAGCTGGGAGCTCCTTCGCAAATAACTTTCGTAAAACTCTGATCTCTAACTTAAATGAGGGATGTACATGGTCTTTTTCATAAATATTATAAACTTTGTGTAGATTATCTGAGTGGTCCGCCGAGAAGGTTATATGGAGCTCAAATTAACGAAGACTTGACTAGCGACCTTATTTTTCTCAATTATCTTTATATCTTCGTCGTCTAGATCCAGCTCTCAAGAACGTCTATTTGTTTAACGACCTCAGCTGACTGATTTCATTGTTAAGCAGTAAAAAGACTTTCAGAGAAAGAAGTATTTTTGAGAGAGAGAAGTTTTGAGAAAGTTTGAGGATATACTGTATATATAATTGTAAAAACTTTTCCGAATTCATATATATATATATATAAGAATTTATAGTGATAATTTTGGAGGTATTAATCAGTTACACAAATGAAATATTTACGTCATTTTTACACAGATCACTCAGAACGTGACTATGATATACCATTAATTGTAACTTATCTTTTCATAACTAAATTTCATTTCTCAATTACTATAATCGTATAAGCTACTCATCGGAAACATTTGCAGGTCGAGTGGTATTTGTGTATTTATACGTAATTTAAAAGCTCGCTGCTCCTCTTGAGAGTAAATTTGCAAAAAAAAAAAATAATAATTGTGCAAAGCGCAAAATGCTATATCCTATTAATATATAATTTAATACGGTAACTTTTTCAGAAAATTATCAGTTGAAAAAGTATGCGATAATAACATTTTATTATTTTTCACTATTACAATATTTTCGAAAAATTTTAAATGATTCGCATTTTCTTTAATGTGTTTATTGATAAAATTATGTTACTCAAATTTTCGATCAACTGAATCAATTTCTACCTCGCTTCGACTTAATGAACTCAAAGATTTTTTAGACATGAAAATAAATTCTATTATAAATAAATATACAAAAAAAAATATATGGATCAACTTTACATTATTATAATCTTGATAGTATTTATTTTAATTTAACATTTTTATTTCTCATAATACATAAATAAATATTTTATTAAATATAAATTAGAATCAAATTAAAATGATTACATAAAAAAAAATGCATTAATTATTTTGTCTTTAAATTTGCTAAACATTTATTTTTACTTATAAAAAACTAATATATTGATGATTCTTGGATATGTTTTTTTTATTAGTATTATCATGATTTTTCTATAAAAAAAAAATACGTTACGTTAGATTACATTAATACCTTACCAGTTACTTATTAGTTTTAAAAAATATTAAAACACTTACTCAAGATCACACTTGTAATATAATTCATAATTAAATTTAGTATTGTTATTAAATTTTAATAGTTGTGGCGTTGTAATTGATGTATCGTTTGTTCTTTCTCTCTCCTTAAAAATGTTCAATATAACTTCAAATAAAAAAAAGAAAAATTTAACATAATAATTTTGATAATTATCTCATAAATCAAATAATATTAACGAATTACTTACAGCTCTGGTTACAATTATAATCACCAAAAGATCCCGCATTGGTGGTGATTGTATTATTTCCATTTTCAACCCACACTGTTTTCAAAGGTAAAAATTTTAGAACGTTAGAACGTTTACGAGTAAGGATTAAACATAAATATTAAAAGACTCGTACGTAATTCAACAAATGTTCCATCCTTGGCAGTAAGACAATTTGGTTCAGGATAAAAATTATTACCCGTTGTATGTGCGACGATGGTAAATGTGGTTAAGTATTTTCCTTGTGCTCGCATGATAAAAAATGTTAGAATAGAGAATAAGATCAAAATAGCCTTTATCATAATTTTATGAATAATTGTCATTTTTTGTTTTTTTTTTTCTACAATCGTATCAATAGTAAGTCTAAGTCTATGAGAATGTGTATTTATAAGAAATTTTTGGATTATTCCATTCTCAACTCTTGTATGAATATTAATCGTTTATTTTTAATATGGGCTTATGATGGCAATTCATGCTATGCATCTTTCTAATCGGAAATTTAATAAATTTAATAATAATCATATGAAGTTAATTAAAGCGAAACAAACTTTATAATTACTAATATTTTTACTAAGCCATCTCGTTCAACAAAAAACATAACGCAAGGCTTATAATCTTTTGATTAGCCTCAATATGGCTATTTTAGTACAAGTACACATATATAGCCAATCAATCTATTACACGTGACCAATTAATCGTGCGTGGTCCAAGATTTGATCGATAAATTCTATTTTCAAAAGGTTTAAAATATTACTTAATTTACTTAATTTTCAAATTAAATATATTTGAATTTTACCTATATTCTCATGAATACGAGAAGTTATCAAATTATCAATACAGAATTCAATTGATTAAGAGAAAAAATTTTATCTTTTAAGGCTTATAGTAATTAACCAAGCCACGTAATAACATTAACCCTCATGGCTTTTTTTATAAGAATAGTTAATTATTTAATTATGGCTAATTTCTATTTTAATAAACTATTGATGATTTCATTGAAATGACATTGAAAAACTGATTTATTTAAAATAAAATTAATCAATTAACAGTATTTAATTATTATCAATTAGACACCGTCTTTATACTTTTTGATGACCATCTTAAATTGTATTTATATTATAAACATGCTGCGAGCGAATTAAATCAATCGATTAGTTAATGTAAAATTGTCAGCCACATTTGTTGGGCTTCAAATGAAAATGTTGCCAATTTTAGTATAAATGGCTTGCATTGTTTAAATGTTCGATCATTTCCCAAGAAAATGTTCATACGCCTCAACAAAGCTTTCAAAATAATTTTTTATTCGAAATTTTTATGTTCGTAAATAAAAATTATTAATTGCGTGTATTAGTGTATTATCGATCATTTTATAGATTAAATACCAATTTGATTATAAATATAATTAATAACTATTATTTATTCTATACGAAACGTAATTTTTAAATAGGAATCGATGATTTGATATATTTCCGTAAAATTTTATTCATAAAGTTATTAATATAATCGTTAAGATTTAATTTAAAAAAAAATTACTTACGATTACAATAAAATTGGGTTGTGTTACCTCAAATTTGGCTGCTGACTCGGTTATGAATTTATTAATACATATTGACTGCGCTACGTACTGTGCCACGCAGTAAACATAAGGAGATCAGAAATGTCAGATGATCTGTTGGATAGGATTAATTACTTGTAGGTCAAAAAACAAGAGGTAAAAATATATTGTTGCTAAAACACTACAAACTATAATCAATTAAAATCGCTCGTAGCCCACCCTTCGTCAAAAAGAAGCTAACTAAACAAAAAAACATTAACTAATAAAAAAGAAAACGTTAAATGTTTATACCGGGACGTATTGACCTTTCATCATTGGTACCATGCGTAAATACTGTCAGGCATGGAATGGTCCTACTGAATTAAAAAAACTGTGGTATTTTTTTTTAAGATTGAAAAGTAGACGGTGTTAAAGGTGAATCTGGACCAATCTGTCGAGATTTGTTCGGTGTTTGTGGATTTAAAGAGGAAGAAGGAGATTCGTCATCGAAAGACGGAGGAGTTCTGCGTTTCATAAATACTACATTTGGATGCGTAAGTACTGTATCCGCTTGATTGGACCACGAAAGTGTATAGTTTCTTGGAATATAAGGAGTCAAATCTTCAACAATCGCTGGAGGAGGAGGAACAGTATTGTGATGCATAATGAAATATGGCTCGTGGTGACGTAAATTATTCGTTCTGTAGACGCCAGTCCTACGATGTGTTATGTCGTTTGCGTTCAAATTTGAGACTACGTTCTCCGAATCCAATAGAACTTGCTTAACTTAAGCTTCACACAATCGAGATAAATGTTGAATTTGTTTGATGACCTTACCCTTGATGGGTAAACTTTTGGTGCACCTCGAGTGGAATTCATTGGCTTGATCGTCAGATAGTGTAGCTTGTCGTAAATAGTTTTAGCTAACTACAATAGCGTAGTATTTACAACCGATTACAGCTTACGTTTACAATATTACAACCCACCTAGGTTGTACTAATTCGAAATATAATAATTATTATTTACGGCAGGCTACCTTATCATCAGAGACAAAGTTATGCGGATCCAACGTTCTATTTGTTTTTTACTACGGATAATGTCTACTCCTACGATAAGTCTCTTTTTCATGTGGACTGAATTTCTTGTAATTAGGAGGATCTGTGTATCGTCTGATAGTGCGGGTGTATTTAATTCCAAGGCGTTTGTTATGGACTTTAGGTTTATTGAGCGTAAAATTTGTGATCACGTGGAATGTGATCGGTCGCACGTGATATTATTGTGTTTTGTGCAACGCCAGCTGGCTGAGAACATTTCCAAGAACACTGAAAGTTAAAAACCCGAAATATGATATATTTTTTGTATGAACATTTGATGAGTCTTCGTTTTTCGATTTTTATCTGATGTTTAATATCAGATATATCTATCCTGTTACGTAAAGCTACTATTTTATCTTTTAATAATCTTTGTACAATAGTTCGTCGGAAATATTTATCTGCCTAAAATTTTTAAAAATTAAACAGTACGAAATAATATGATCTGTAAAATAAGCCGACTACTTCATAATTTCTTGTGAGCATTACGTTACTTTCTGAATCAAATAATTAACCATTTTTCTCATAAATCGGAAAATTCTCTAGATTAATGTTCCGATAATTGATCTGCAAGCTGCAATTTGGCGTTAAATAATGCTAGGTTGGCGTAGATCGTGCACGCAATTTTTGAATTGATATCTAAATATACTCCATATAAAAAAATTAATATATTCAAAACAGGATTTCTCTTTGCAAAAGTATTCGTCATTTTTTATTTCTAATATTAAGATATGAAAACTAGTCAATTTTTTTTTTTCTTAATTTTGTATATTTTTATTATCTTTTTTTATATCTTTATCTTAAGTAAATTAACTTATTTTCATAGAAAATGTATATTTTATATATTATTACATTACGGGACACAGGCTATGCCAACAAAATTATTTAAGACAAAATTTTATTAATTGGACAAGTGGAAATGAAAAAATTGATAACTTTATTCAAGAAAAACAAATAGAAATTAATGGCCCATTTGATATTGTATTTAAGTGGATTCCATACAATCAGTTTACTAACATTAAAGAAATGAATGAAGATAGTCTTTCAGCAATATGGATGGATGGACCATTATATTGGGAAATTTGGAATAAAAAATATATAAGATTATCAGATTTTAAAGTTGGTTTAAAATATTCATATAGTATACAAAGTATTGATGAATTTCTAAACAACGTATGAAATTTCTTTATAAATTAATTTTTGAACTTTTTACCGTATAATAATCTTTTTTATTATATAGGTCAAACAATCCTTAATTGTTAATAATAACATGATATTTGGAATATCTCAAGACCCAAACACAAAAGATTATATCATAGTTTTTCAAGATAAATATTGTAAATTTTGTAGTGAAAAATACATTATACCTCGTAAATGGAATAAATGGTATGAATCGTGTAAATCATGTAAAGTTAAGGATTTAACTAATTTGATTAGTAGTGGAAGTGAGAAAATTGATAATTTTATTCAAGTAAAACAATTAAAAATCATTAACAAACGGGATAATATACTTGAGTGGATTCCATACAATCAGTTTACTGACATTAATGAAATGAATGAAGATAGTCTTTCAGCAATATGGATGGACGGACCATTATATTGGGAAACTTCGAATAAAAAATATACAAGAACATCAAATGTTGGGGTTGTGTTGAAATATTTGCATAATATACAAAGTATTGATGAATTTCTAAACAAAGTATGAAATTTCTCTATCATATAAAATATTTTTACCATAATAATAATCTTTTTATTATATTATATAGGTTAAATTCTTAATTAATATTAATATAATATACGGAATATCTCGAAATCCAAATACAATGGATTATATTATAGTTTTTCAAGATGTATACTGTAAAAAATGTAATGAATTATATTCAAGTAATTATCATAGATGGTGCAGAAATTGCTCAATAGATTGTTTAAAAGAAAATTTTACAAATTGGACTAGTAGAAATGAAAAAATTGATAATTATATTCAAAACATGCAACTAAAAATCAGTGATTACAATGATAAAATATTTGAATGGATACCATACAATCAGTTTATTAACATCAAAGAATTGAATAAAGATGACTTTTTTACATTATATTCAGTAAAATGGAAAAATGGTCCTTTATATTGGGATGCTTGGAATAAAAAATGTGTAAGAAGATCAGATATAGAAATTGTTTTGAAATATCCACATAATTTACAAATTATTGATGAATTTTTAAATGAGGTATGTAATTTATACACAAAATTAATGTGTGTTTTTTAATATTAATTTATTTTATATATAATAGGTCAAAAAACATTCAATTAATTTTGAAGTATTTGGAATATCTCAAAATCCAGATACAGGAAAATATATAATAGCTTTTCAAGAAAAAATAGATAAAAAATATTGTATAAAATGTAGTAAAGTTTATACAAATGTAGATAAAAAATGGTGTAAACAATGTTCAATAAATTATTTAAGGAAAAATTTTACTAATTGGACTAGTGAAAATGAAAAAATTGATAACTTTATTCAAGAAAAGCAAATAGAAATTAATTACTCATGGAATAATGTTTTTGAGTGGATTCCATACAATCAGTTTACTAACATTAAAGAAACAAATGAAGATAGTCTTTCAGCAACAT